ACCTGTAAGTGCTACAGACATGTAGCAGAGAAAAATCAGGTCTTCTGCACTACCAGACATCATGGTGCGACAGAGCTGTGTAAATCTCAGAACCGGATGTGGGCAGACATACAAATACTTTGGCAGGTAAAAGGATATATATATCTATATATATATATAGAGAACACAGAGTCCTCAATCTAATTTTCTGTGTCCCCTTTTATCAATAAACAGGAATCCTCTATGAGTGTTCCTGTTCATTGATAACATGAGAACCTTGTTCATTTACTATAACTACAATTATGAATGAATGGAGGTGATGTAGATCACTCCCATTCATTCATAATTGAGGATATAGATAACAACCATATCCTCAATTATGTACAAACACTCAGCAATCACTGAGTGTGTGTACCTTGCTCTTCTCTCTGACACGCTGTCACAGGAGGCTGATCGAACGGTGTAGAGAGGAAAGCCCAGCCTCCTGTGACAGCGCGGGCTGTCTCCGCCCACACACCGCTCTACCGGACTGTGATAGGCGGCAGAGCCGTGTGGGAGGAGACGCCGGCCGCTCACAGCGCTCTCCACCGCTGCGCTCGGCCAGCTGTCACTTTCTCTTCTCCCCGTTGGGACACAGAGCAGCGCCCAGCAGGGAGGAAAGAAATCAAGTATCTCTCCTCCCCTTTATGTAAATATTTTATTATATAATTTCATGTGTCCTTAGTCTGCTTGTCATCAGCAAACTGTTTGCGGGCTTTCTTGTGCATCATATTTAGAAGAGGCTTTGATGCAGTGTGCGGCGTATGGTCTGAGCACTGACAGGCTGACCCCCCTCCCCCCCTTCAACCTCTGCAGCAATATCTGTCTCATGCCGCTCCGTCCCCATCTCCTCACGTGCATTCACTTTTGTTGCCAGCGGTTTGGACATTAATGGCTGTGTGTTGAGTTATTTTGAGGGGACAGCAAATGTACACTGATATACAAGCTGTACACTCACTACTTTACATTGTAGAAAAGTGTCATTTCTTCAGTGTCGTCACATGAAATTATATACAGACATTCCTCGGTTACTGACTTACCTGCTTTGCGACCACTCATACTTACGACGGACCGCCGAGCGACCTCCGACGTCGCGTGTCAGCGTCAGTGCAACGTGTTGCCGGCGGAAGTGACGTCCTCCGATCTTCACTGCGGGTCCCGATAAGTATTTTCATTGCCCGATGTACAGCACACTGTTCGGTACTGTACATCTGCAACGCTATGCAGTACAGTACTGTATAGAGTTCCTCACTTAGCAACCAATTCGTTTAACGACCTGGTCGTAGGAACTCGGACGTTAAGTGAGGAATACCTGTAATAAAATATTTACAAAAATGTGATGGGTGTACTCTCTTCTGTGAGTGAGTGAGTGTGTGTATATATATATATATATTATATATATTTACACACACACACACATATCTATATATCTATATATATATCTGTGTATTTAGCTGTCTGCCTGAAGTTCAGCTATGATCGATACAACTCCCAGCAGAGGGAGATCTAATGACCCCAATGTGATTTAGTGACATGGCACATAACCAAAGAACTGGAAATGGTTATCGGGGAGGGGCGATAGATATTGTGTAACAGATTTCTTATTCAGCACATAACATTATCTACCACATAACATGAATGTGTTCTGATAGGCACTGTACTGATTTATATAGACCTGTATGAGGTAATGCCTTTAGCATAAGAAAGACTCCATTTGTTGCCAACTATATCAGAGAGTCGCTAAAGAACAAAATGTAATAGATTGCAACTTACGAGTTACAACCTTAGATGTGGTGGTTGCATTAGTTTCCTATGTTCAGGCTAGGTACATTTTCACAAATTACATAAAGTGCCTGTTGATCGTGCCAGAAACGCAGCATCCATCTATCCTGAGAATAGAACTAAAATCACAATGCTATCTTGTGTAGACTACTAATTCCAACACCCCCATGTAATGGAGATGGAGAGGAAGATGTGTTTAGTCCAAATCAGGAGAGCAGCCTGCGTGACAGACATTTCTTCCTCCATAGATACAGTGGAGGAGTGAGCGTTCTCATCCCAGGACAGGAAGTGTGGTGTTCACAGGATCACTCGGTAACATTAAAGAAAAAGAAAACCTATGCAGCCACCTCATCTAAGAACTGCTAAGCTGCAATATAATTAGATGTGTCTAAGTCTCTGTTCGCATTTGTGTGTCTGCATTTTCATTATTTTCTCTGCATGTTTTTGTTGTGCGTTTTTCTTGCGTTGCGTGTTCTTGTTTTGGCTAATAAAGGTGAAATAAAGTATAGGTTGCTAGAGGGGTGGGAGCTTGACATGATATCCCATTCACAACCAACAAAATAAATCAAACGTCAGCAGTGGTAGCTCCCTGATTGCTTTCATGAAAGGTTTACTTTAATGCAAACTAGAAACAAAAATTTCATTTTGTGCCGAATGCAAGTTTAGACGAACTTTCGTGAATTCGGATGCATACGAATTTCTGAATTAAACAAATATTGAATGCAAACAAATCTGAATTTTGCAGTAATGAAAATCCAGATACATCTGAATATCCCAATGCCATTTGGACTATTGTTCGTGGTTAACATAAAAAAAAAAAAGAAAAACAAAACAGCGTGGGGTCCCTCTCCCAATTCATACCAGGCCTTTTAGGTCTGCTAGGTATTTTAAGGGGGACTCCACGCCCCCCCAAAAAAGAAAAACAAACCCAGGTGACACCAAAGTGACTGTCTGTCATTTTGGTATCACCCTCTCTGAAAAGTTGGGCACTCGGTCATGGACTGAGAGCCTGGCAGTTGGACGAGAGAGGAGGGGACCCGGCGGCATACCTTATCAAAGATGTATGATGTTGAGTCTGACGATGACATCACGTGCATACGCAATGGTGTCACCCGCTACCCACTCTGGGCGACACCCTGCTTAGGGACGCCCCTGGTGGGGTCCCCCCTAAAATTCCTTAACAGACCCTCGATCTGAGCAGGCCCGTCAGAGCAGGAAAGGGGTAACCCCCTCCCCTAGGTGAATGAGTAAACTCCTGTTACTCCTGCTCATTCAAAAGTAAATTTTTGACAATTCGTCTATAAAGAAAAATAAAAAATAATCCCACAATGTAAATCCAGCGTCAATCACATCGTCCAGCAATATAAATACTCTCGATCCTCGATGCCCGACACCCGTTGACCCAATGAAACAAAAAAATTCCCCCGCTCGCCGCCTCAACCAAATCTTTGTTTACATCGGGCAGTGGGCGAAAAATAAACAGCGTGCTATTGGCTATTTCAAATTGCAATAGCAAAATGGCTATTGCACCGGCCCGCTGCCTAATGTGAATCCGCAGAGGAGGACCTGATGGGGCCCCATGGTGTTTTTTTCATTAAATTATTTCAATAAAATTTGTTTTTTGTTTTTTTTCAAAAACCCATCCGAATGTCTGAAATGAAAAAAAAAAAATGAAAACTTTGGATTCCTTCTGAATACGAATAGCATGTAGATCCGATTTATTACGTAAACGATAAAAAAAAAATCAGAAAGTATCTGAAATGAAACAAAATTAATTTTTAGCGGGTTTACATGCCTTGAGGAATTAATCGTTAATTTCTGCAGCCATATATA